TCTCGCCTCTTCCTCTTCCGCTCTCGGAGAGCGAAAGACGAGGCGTGCTTACTTGTTAAAAGCAGTGTGTGCAATAAGAAAAAGAGAGAAAGTGTGCGTGTGTGTGTGTATGTGTGTTTGTTTTGTGTGTTTTTGTGTGTGCGCTTGCCTGCGCGTGGTGTTTGTACAGTGTTTGGCTGTCGTGTCATTCTGAGTATCTTGACTCTTGAGGCTGCAAGATATATATACCCTTGAATTTGGCTATATTATTGATGGTTGGCTGTCGCACACTTTTCGGCATGGAATGAATCCTGCCGAAAGTGCTTGGTTCAGCATAAGTAATTTTAATTTGCCCTATTAATACTACACTACACCCAAAGACAATATTTGCCCATATAATTTCCTTGACTTAATTTTCTGTCAATTTCTTTGGTTGTCTTTATTAATGAAACGAGCCCCTTCAAAAATTTCTTCGCTTCCATTTTTTTCAGTGTTACGTCACGTGTGCGCCTGTTCGTGTAGTAGGAAGGTCACATAATATTATTCCAAGATTACAATATATTCATCGGTTTCCAGCATTTAATTCTAGCAATAATTTCTGTTAGGTATTCGTTAATCCAACAAAATACGTGGTCACTGTGGGCACGTCTAATCACCGTAGTGGAGATACCTGTAATGTTCGATCACGTAATAGCAAGTATGGATACGTCACACCTCGCTATGATCTCTATTTCGGGTGATTGATGGTGGAAGGACACCAGAACACACAGCCCATATTCTGGCTTCAGTAAGGCAGTCTCGCTGCTGGCAGTTCCACAAGCTCGTGATGGCGTTGGCGTACGGGGAGAGAAATCTAATGAACACGCCTATTTGCGATTGCTGCATAACTCACGCGCGTCCATAGCCAGCTTGTGTAGGCCGTGAAGGCCAGCAGCACCGAAATTTCACTCGTGGTCAGACGTGGGTTGCCGCGGGGTGAATTCCTGCCACGCATTGGCGAGTACTGATCATTGAGGTGTACGCTGCCTGCCGTACACGATGCAGTCATGACAAAACAGATATGGGAAAACTGAGTGCGTTGGCCACTTTCATACGAGTTCTAAACGTTACCTGGGAGCCATGCAGTGTAGTTGCAATCGAAAAAAACGGCATGCTGCATTTTGTGTGCTTGGAGTGCAACTATACTTGGATTGCGTCCTTCTTCTTCTCCCTTCCTTCTTCTCTTTTCGTGCGTCTGTTCGATAACTACCAGTGCTAACACTTAAAGCGAAATTTGAAACATTAAGAAAAAAAAACTCATGACTATTAAACATGAGAAGTGAATGGGCTGCTCTGTCTCGGTGATCGATGGAGATAACCGTAGATTCAACAGAAAACTTGCACTAAGGGCAGAGTACGGACTTCAACGTTACCGCAGAACTACACCTGTATCGCAACTCTAACTATATACTGTCCCACCATTATTTGTGCTATTTATTGTTTCTACGAGGTAAACATTGTGATTAGCATTCATGTATCAGTATGAATGCAAACTGTACCTTGCTGTTTCTATTTTTAATAGAATATCTGCCGAAGTGTCTAAATAAGGCTTTGTGGGAAGAGAAAAAAAATACAGCACTCCTCAGCAAGATATCGCTATTAGTGACACTTTCGGATCGTGGTATGCCTTCTAAATATATTTTAACACGCATTTTTATCTCCGGAGATAAAGAGAGCAAGCTTGGTAGCTTGGCGCAGCGAAATGGGCCGATTGATTGTTATAATATTCATCTCATACGTTTCCTACCGTTGTACTATATCCCGGTAGGTTCGTATGCAAAGGCCCTTGCTATAGGCATTGCTATATAGTTAGTTTATTTGAGATTTTCCACGCTTGGCGGGGTACACATTACACGGAGTTTTTTACTACACTTAATGTGGATATGACGACTCACGTGATGGAAATTCTTGGGTCGAACTTGGGAGCCTCCGCGTTGATTTAGTATAGTTACGGTGCTCGAATACTCACCCTAATGTCGCGTTTTCTCTTCAGGCCGCAGTGGAAGGATTTCAATGTAAACAGAATGCTTGTGGCTTATTTGCTGTGTGATGTCAGGGAAGGTTAAGAAAAAAATACTATGTTAATAGAACGTATCACGAGGCCTCCATTACAGCTTATCTCGTAGTTTAGGCCGGTTTGGTGCGTTAAAACCTGTAATTTGTCGAAGAGCCGGTTACGTTTGTGCACTATATTTGATTAGTTAATCAGTTAGAGTTTGGGTATTGTTAAAGCATTATGATGTAGCGATAGCAATGTGTTAAAATTTATGCCTCGAGAAAGGACAAACCCAGATGGTTCTATCGGGTACTGATGTCTTGCTTGGCGGTCAATAAATTGTAGAGTTGAATTGCAGTGAGAAGAAATGACACCGTTAGTAATTTGCGCACTGTTATTACGGTGATGTGAAGTGTAATTTAGTTTTGTTATGTTCTCATTACAATATAAAAAACCAGTGGACTGTGGCATTGAAATCATTTGAACACGAAAGTGTTTTATACCAGGGTCCGCCAAGATTTCAATGACGCATTTTCATCATGGAAGTGAAGTCGAAAAAATACGCACAATCAGAAGACAAAGAAAAGAACTTCCGTCAGAGGGATTCGAACGCATTATTTCTGGGACCACGACAAATGAAGCCGGATGCGCTATCCACTACACCATGGCCACACAACTTGCACGTTTAGAAAAATACGCCTTTTGTATTTAGCGCTGTCCTCTCGCAGCGTTCTTGGTAAAACGCAGTGATGCATAATTACGGATGTATTCGCTACTACATCCCTCAAAGCATCGTTTCTAAGCGTCCGTCTATAGTGAACTGGAACCAACATCTATACGTCCAGCGCTTTTCCAATAGAACTGCAATTTTGTCAACGCCTTAATACACCCCCAAGTGTCTACCTTACCCCAGGTGTCGGCGTCGCTCATAGCATCCATCCATACCAAACAGTTATGCGACGCCCGACGGCTTCCTCTGGATTTAACTCTGCGTTCCCCACGTATACGCTCGCCGCATATACAATCGTGGCTGACCCAAGGGAAGACGCGACTTGTGTTGCGTTTCGCTCTCGTCGGGCAGTGGTCATCATCGTCATCATCATCATCAGCCTGGCTACGTCCAGTGCAGGACAAAGGCCTCTCCCTTGTTCCACCAGTTAACCCGGTCCCCGCCAGTTAACCAGGGCAGTGGTGTTGAACTCGAAAATGCCGCGAGTAGATGACCATAGAACACGGAGGAAGAAACATATAGGAGGTGCAATTAGGTGGCTGCGGCTTCGCGCCGCAAGGCACCGCCAGCTGAAATGTCTCCGTCGGAGCATGCGATCTTAGGGACGAAGCTCCTGAAGCCGTTGGTCTGTCCCTCCTTGCTCGTACGTGACCGCCTAGTTCAATGACTTACTGAACCGGTGCGGATGGTCGGACGGACGGACGGACGGACAGACAGACAGACAGACAGACAGACAGACAGACAGACAGACAGACAGACAGACAGACAGACAGACAGACAGACAGACAGACAGACAGACAGACAGACAGACAGACAGACAGACGGATTGATGGATGCGCGATTCACGGATTACCGATAAAACCCTCCGAAGCTTCGCCCCACTCATAATCATTCACTCCGTGGATATGCTGTGATTTTTGTATATCATTTGACCTTATCTGGACGGCTGCTTACGCCCGTTCTAACGGAAGTTTCATCACCTAAATATTTCTTCCTCCGTGCCTTAGGCCAAGTTTAGCGTGAAGCTGTTGCGAACAGACTTCTAGTTTTCTTGTTTGTTGTTTTTTTTTTCTTTTACGGGCAGTGCTAATTTTCTCTCTTGCATCAGAAAGGATAGCGGGTAACGGATAACACCGAACAAGAAGCGCATGTCCTGTCTGCTTCTTGTCTCATGTTATAAGTTTTCGCGCAATCATTTCTGATGCAATGTGAACCACCACCACGCCGAAACGTAATAACTTTGGATGTTCTCGCAAAATTATACTTATTAGGCAGTAACTTCGATTGATTGATGGGCTTGGTTTATTGCCACAAAGCCACCTAACGATTTTGAGAGACGCCGTAGTGGAGGGCTCCGGAAATATCGAGCACATGGGGTTCTTTAACGTGCCCCTAAATCTGAGCACACGGGCCTACAACGTTTCCGCCTTCATCGGAAATGCATCCGCCGCAGCCGGGAATCGATTCCGTGACCTGCGGGTCAGCCGCTGAGTACCTTAGCCACTAGAGCACCACGGCGGGGCTAGGCAGTAGCTTCGAAGAACGCAAATCAATAAACAGCCTAAAAAGAAAGCTGCACAGAAGGAACTAATATAGAACAAAGATTGCACATTTTAAAGACGCCGGTAGCTTTGGAGTAGAAGGCACACCCTGAGCCGGCCATGGTGCATCAGTGGTTACGGTGATCGGCTGCTAACCAGAAAGTCGCTGGTTCGATCCCAGCAGTGGCGGTCGCATTTGAATGGAGGCCAAATGCTGGAGGCCTGTGTGCCAGTTCTCGTTTAAATAAACCAGGTGTTCGAAATTTCCGCAGCCCTGCGCTACAGCAACCAGCATATATCGTGGTTTTGGAACGTTAAAATAGTGATATATTATTATGAACCACCCTGAAGCTTCAGTGTAAAATGTTTTGAAAAGTGACCATAACGAAACAGCCCACCACAGAAATTGTTGTTAGCGGCTGTTGTTCGAGCAGCAGACTGTTCTGCTCACCAATATGTCGCACGTGTGACACTTTCTTGTTTATGTATGACACTCGTTCCTAGAAGCACTCGCATATCGCGTTACTTTCTGTGTTATTATGGCGCCATTAACTTAAGTAAGTAGGTCTGCCTCTAGTATCACTGCATCACGTTGCGGTGAGTACCAGCTCACACTGTGAGCATTCGTTTGCACGAGTCAATGATCCTTGGACTGCCTTGTTATAAGACATAACTGACCACTTTCTCATTGTACACCGAATTGTGAAGCATTGACTTTTAAACACACGATCACATCTTTATTAGGCGTGCAAACAAAGTTCACCACACATCACAGAAGCTATCGATCACACTTGCGCAAACTCATTGCGCACCTTTCGCAGCAGTTCATACTGGACAGCACAACACAACACTCACGCGTGAAAGCACCGGTTAGCTCGCACTCGTAGTTGAGTTCTTGAAGCGGACGCAGTGACGTGTCCGCCACTGCGCAACCGGTAGCCTCTCCTGTTCGTTACGAATGCCTTTGCCCATGACGAGCTCACCGCAGTCATTCGTGATGCAAGACACGCACATTCCAATGCACAAGCTGGCACCGCTCCCGGCTGCTGCAGCCAACAAATGCTTCTTCTTCGGCTTGTCGAACTACTACTCCCTCGGTCAGAGACGGGGGCCGCTCTTTGAAGTACGTGCTGTGATTCGATGGTTGCAGTGTAAAGGCATGCGAATGACAGGTACTCTTCAGATTACCAGAATGAGTGTAGCGTGGACCACTTGTTCATTTCCTCTTGTACGGGATGACTTCGCTGTCAGCGGCCTTCTTCATGTCTTGCTCGAGATCGGGCGTCGAACTCTTGATGATGGATATAATCTCGTCCCTGTACCCGAGACGTATACTGTTGAACTTGAACTCTTCGCCCAAGTTGACGACCTTGACCTGCGGCACTGTGAGCCGCAGCCGTAGCGTGACGTTCATCTCCTTCCATGGTTCCACGGCGATCTTCATCTGCAGGTGCGGGTTGAGGAACACTCCGCTGGCGCGGACGTTCCTGGGTGGGTACGTCGAGTGCTTCAGCGTGCCCGTGATATCGACGCGGAGCTCCCTGGTGGTCAGGTTGCAGCGTATGGTGATGCCGGTGGCCAGCGCGTGTTCTTCGTGGGCGCAGTTGCCGTCGCGTTCCAGCTTGTTGTAGCCGGTGATGAAGATGTCCCCGAAGTAGGCCCAGATCTCGGGCCGTCCGGCCACTGTTTTGTTGTAGCTGTCCTTGGGCCTGTACGGTGTCTGAATTTGTTGGCCCAGTTCACTGAGCACCACGTCCACGTAGTCGTTCACCTCGTCCACCGTAGTGGCCGATGAGACTGCGTTATGAGAGAAGTTATGACACAGAAGCTATCATGATTTACAGGTTATGGTCAAATGACTTTGTCATAGTGTGAATAGTCGAGGAAATATTGTCTCTTCAAGCTGAAAGTTACCTTTCAAGACTTCCTCTAAACCACATACGCAGGTTGCAAGGGCTGCAGCGTAGGCCTTTCGAAGCACACGACGTTTACGCGCGTGGTTGTGACGCAGGCCTTGATTTTTGCGTGCCCAGTGATTCTTGATCAACATCCTCGAGTAATTGTTTAAGGAGATGTAAAAGACATCTCATAAATTACATTGGTAAATACAGGAAGAGAGATATGAAACATCAGTTGAGTTGCTCTGCACGTGTTCCCCTGGACCTGCTTGTGACACGATATTCAATAAGACACAATACAAGCAAGTCAAGCCAGAGTGAAGCGTGCTTGACTCCACTTTATGGCAGTGCCCTGCATCAAAACTGAATCTTTTCGGCAATGTTTATTTTCGTTGACGGTCTCACGTTTTCTAAAGTGACGCTTGTGATCACAACTAAACCTAAGGCCAATGTTTGTTGCGTAAACTGTCCTGCTTCCCACTTTTTATCTTTTGGGTTGTGCCTTTAGATGCTAATAATTCTTATTATTATAACCAAATCTATAAGTGACGGTCATGTGCATTTAAGCATAATCACTCGGTGATGTGAATTGTAAAAAGTACTCTGTGCAAATAGTGAAATCACTAAAAAAAGGGAGTTGGTTTTTTTTTCTTTTTACTAACCATGCTATTGCACAGTGTCCTTACAATCTCACACACACCCCCACACACGCGGAAAAAAATGCACTCTTGCACGTGCAAGTCTCTGCCCGGTGAAAATGCTACTCCTGTTTACTAACACGCTCGGCCGATAATGTGAAGGGGTTTATACGGGGCAGAGTAACATATTGCTGAATATTTAGTGGACATGCTTGTGAGTTTTTGCATGATCAGGAACCTCTTGCAATAATTTAGAGTTGTCTCATGTTGTTATAATGAAATATCATAAGTAGGTAAAGTCATCTATTAACGACACAACGAGGAACAATGATTGAGCGTTTTTGTGTACGCATCAAGTAACAATCTAGCCAAAATAGGATATGACAAACCATAAGTGCAACTAAAGGCAGGTAATTTAGGGTCCGTACAAACAGCACTGGTTTGTTGGTGGCTGAAGACATTTTGTTGCTATTGTCCGTATGAATCGCTATTACGTGTTGAACCACATTTTGTGTGTACAGTAATACACTTTAATTCACAACTCACCTGCCTTGTTTGCGAAAATAATTGTCATAGCTTGCTCTTAAATATGTAAAAGCGGGAGCAGGCCACACCAAGAATGTAAAAAGTGACGTTTGCTTTTATGCCAGGTGACAAGTACCTGGAAATTGGTATGAAATCTATCCTATTCGCATGTATGGCCAGACGTTTCAAAGAAGCAACACCATTTTGTTGTTGCTGTTGTTGTTGTTGTTGTTTTGCTCGGATTGCCGAACAGCATCGATTCTAGCTTCCAAGCAATCGACAACGTGGGACGTTAATTTCACTAAGCTTACAATCAGGGCAAAAAACGTTTGTCAATTTTAACTTTGTTTTAAGCCATAACGTAAAGATAAGCAGGAATAAACGTGTTTACGCTGCACGCTGAAGCAAACCATTAGAGAAATATGATTTTTTCTTCGTTTTTTTCAAACACGAGAGAGCCGCATTACCGGCGGTGACATTCAGACTAGCTATACATGCTGTCTAGGAAACTTTATTTTAGTAAATTTTAAGCTGTTACTTCCTAGGGTAATGAAAGGAACTTTAGTACAAAGTACCCCAAAAGATCCGTAAGTCTTAAGTGCTAAGTGTACGACGGAAAACAGAAGCACCGAGTCAAACAGCACTACCTATTTAAAGTGCAGAGCATACGGTTTTAGCGCTATTCACAAAGAGAGTATATATTATACGAAAATGTGCACAGCAACCATGTTGGAGCATCTACGGAAATTTTATGCGCGTGTTTCAACACACACTCCTTACCTTAATAACATATGCGAATAATGTTTCTCGCCAATTTGAAAGTTTCGACACTGCACTGATGCAAATCTCTATATTCGACCCACCGGCAATCTCATTAACGACTTATCTTATTGCCGTACAAAATGCGTTCAGCAAAAGAAAAAGAAAAGGTGGTAATGGGGACCAGCGAATAGGACTTTTGAGCAAAGTCCCATTTTAAATCCTAGTAATAACAAGAAAAGAACATGCGTCCTCAGTTTTTGTTTCAAAAGAACCCTACTTTTTTTAAGTCTTCTGGACGATATAAGGCTTTGTTGCTGGGGTCGCTAGGTAAGTTTTGAAGTTTTAACATCGTGTACTTGTACCTGGAAAAGCAAGCTTCGGCGAAATTAACGAAGTGCGGGGAATGAGTGGTGACATTTGCACGCTTTTGAATTCGACAGTATAGTTGAACGTTTCCCGTAAAATTTCAGGAACATATATAGTACAGCATCAACTAATTTTCACAATAGTCAAAGCGCACGTTTACGAGAACAATTCAAATCTTGGCTCCTTCCTTTTTAGTTGAAGAGCACTTCTTAGGTTTCAGAAAGTTCGTGGAACATATTCTGCGTGTGTTTGTTTTCTCGTGTTGTTTTCTTTCGTGCTGTTTAACATTGAAGATAGGCAGTTCTTTTTTCTTCAAACTGTGCACCAGTATTTGATACGCATGCAATAAAATAGCGCTGTAGCAGCGTCTATCAGTGCCATCCCAGATAAGAAAAAAAAGACGTCACAAACGATATCATCTGGAATCAACGCGATACAACCAAAACAAATCCAGAAATGTATGTTGAGAGAATGCCTGAATTCACGCCATATTAGGATACAGCAAACTGCGTAAATTGTAGCCCATATCGCGCTGCTATATCCATAAAGATACAAAAATAATCTGTCAGTTACTTCCAATAAGATAGCTTCTTTCGCTTAAAATGAACAGATAATACTTGGAATCACAAGCAAATCGCCTCGGACACTCACTTTCTTGAGAGCACTTTATCTCGCATTGGCACAGAGCAACATTTTTTTCTTTCATAGTGACCTACCAGTTCCCGAATGCTAATTCATCTGGGCCATAGCAAGCAATTTTTTCAAAATATTTCCGTTTTAATCTAAGATAGTTGTGCATCGAGAACTCTATAGCTTCTCTAGACCAAGATATCAAGTAGAAAGTTTTCTTGCTTATATCTCTGCATCTACTTATCAGTGATCCAGCAACGTAGTAAAACGAAAAAAAAATTAGTGCGAGAATTTCACTCACCCGAGGCGAAGAGGACAAGAAGAAGGACGGGCAGCATTTCCTGAAACATTAAAATGACAAAATGAGGACAGCAAATTGACAACTTCGTTTCTCGTTCTGCCTTTCCTAAATTAATTTATAAAAATATAGGGAAAAAATTTGGTGTGTTACTGGCGGTGTTGGGCCATTCACTGAGTATTCTACACTGTAAACCGTGTTCAGCAGAAAGTGACAGCCAAACCCAGGAAATTATTTTTTTCGCTCTTGTTTTCTGACACTTAGTCGGTTCCAGGTAAAAGAGTAGGTAATACCCCAAGGCTGCGGCTAAAGCATATCCTACAGTGCGTGTACTTTTTTTAATTATTTTTATGAACTTCTTTTTTTGTGCACCGGAGGTGCGTTTATGAAGACATGTAGAATCTAAACTGTTCAGTTATGCATTTCGATGGGTAATTTTGATATAGCACACTTTGTATGTTTACTTAAGTATCTACAACAACCTACCGAGGGATACTTTAAGCAAACGCAACCTTGCTTGGGTGTTATTTTCAAAGTCTGTGAAATGTTGCCTAATTTTTTTAAACCTAACATTCATCTGTGGAGTAGGAGACGTACTTAAAAAATTCACCTATTTACCTATGGAACGAAAGTATGTGGAAGTTGATGTACTCTTCTGAGTTTTGTCATTATGTTTTGCTTATATTATACTTTTTTTTTTTTATTTGAAACAAATCCCGCAGCGCCACTTAGGCATTATTGCGGGGGGCACAGAGCCTCATAAAATGAATCCGCAGTCTTGCGGCCAACTACATCGGCTGGTAACGTGTTCCATTCAACAATGGATTGCGGAAAAAAAGAATGCTTAAAAAGATCCGTTCTGGGGTTGTATGGCCGTACTTTAAATTTGTGATCATGACGGGAGGATTGATAATACGCTTTTTTTAAATAATCTGAAGCATTAATGCCCGTTTTATTGTTATATATCGAATAAAATAGTTTTAATCTTAGATTACGTCTTCGATCTTGTAAGTATTGCCAATTAAGTTCTCTTTTCATACAACGGGAGCTTTCAGTTCGGCCATATTTTCCCAGAACAAATCTTGCTGCCATCGACTGAATGCGCTCTAATTCATGAATATGTATTTTGTTAAACGGATCCCACACAGGACAGGCGTATTCTAGTATTGGTCTCACATAGGCATAATATGCGGCCTGTTTAACTTCCTTGGTTACATGTTTAAGATTTCTTTGTAAAAAGCCTAGGGCTTTTCCCGCTCTACTTACAACACTGCCAATGTGCTCAGACCATCCCCCATCCTCAGAAAGCGTGACACCCAAATACTTATATTTGTGTTCATACCTAATAACTTCATTGTTTAAGATGTACTGATTTGTAAATCTATTAACCTTTTTGGTGAAACTGACGTGAACACATTTATTCGTGTTTAATACCATGTCATTATTTTTACACCATGCCTCCACGTGATTAAGGTCATCCTGAAGCTGGGTGGAATCCGTTTGGTCGGTCAATTCAGTATACAACACACAGTCATCAGCAAACATTCTAATACGACACCTAATTGTATCCGAAATATCATTAATAAACACAAGGAAGAGAAGCGGACCGAGTACGGAACCCTGAGGTACCCCTGATGTCACCGAAGCTAAACACGAACAAGATCCACCAAGCACAACCTTTTGTTTTCTTGAAGTTAAATAGTCCGCAATCCAACGGCAAATGGTTTGATGAATGTTCAAGTTCTGCAGTTTTTGAATCAGAATAGAGTGTGATACCGTATCGAAAGCCTTTCTGAAGTCTAAAAATAAACAATCAATCTGTCCTCGATTATCTAAAACTGATGCTATATCATGATAGAATTCAATTAATTGGGTTGTGCATGAAAAACCCTGTCTAAATCCGTGTTGTTTAGGATTAAAAAATTTAATTGAAGTCAGGTGATTCATTAAAGCAGAAAAAAGAACATGTTCAAGTACTTTACAACAAATCGGCGTCAAAGAAATTGGTCTGTAATTTGATACGTCTGATTTAGAACCACTTTTGAAAACTGGCACAACATTAGCTATTTTCCAATCATCAGGAAGCTTGCCTTCATCGAGTGATTTTTTATAGATAACATAAAGGTAACGAGCCACTGCCTCAGAGCAAAGTTTTAAAACTCTTGGTGATATGCCATCTGGGCCAGTTGCTTTACCTTCGTCAATGCGCTGTAACAACTTCATTATGCCATTGAATGAAAGCTCTATCTCACCCATAGGCAAATATTGTTCTTTTTTATTCGTGACAATCACTTGTGTAGGTGGGCGGAAGACCGATTTAAAGAAGTCGTTAAAAAGTGTGGCTTTATCTCGATCCTCAATTACAATCTCGCCACCGTGACGTAGGTTTGGTGGGCTAACCTTCTCAGTACCACATCGTCTCATATATTTCCAAAACCTTTTCTTATTAGAAAAGTCAGCGGCCAGACTCTTAAAATACTTTTTCTTGGCTTCTTTCAGTTCCATTTTATAAAGTGATGTCAAATCTTTCATTTTATTAAAATTTTCAGGGGATTTTTTTTTGGCAGTATCGGGAAAAAAGCCCTCTTGCGCTTTTTGATAAGCTGAATAAGATGCCCCTTAATCCAAGGTTTCTTTATTTTACTCAGTTTATCGCTTGAGACGCTCGGGACGTGACGCCGAATGAGCCCAGTAATGCGTTCCTTAAACACTTGCCATAGCTGCTCAACAGTTGCTTCGTCTGCACTGCATTCAAAAGACAGAAATTGTTGCTCAAGACCAGCTGATATTTGCTGATAGTTTGCTTTACTATAAAAGAAGATTCTCCTAGATTCGCATTTCTTTGTATTTACCCGAGATCTTGTTAGCTTTGCAAAGACGGCGTTGTGATCACTAATACCGGGAATAACGTGTGTTTCATTAATGACATCAGGGGTATTACAAAACAACAAATCCAGAATGTTGTCACCTCGCGTAGGACTGGAAACATACTGCATGAGGCCGAGCACGTCAGTCAACGTTTTCAATTCACAGTATGTCGCTGCCTGAGACTTTAAGACACAATTACCGTTATTCCACTCAGCATCCGGTAAATTAAATTACTTCAAACGAATGTTTTGAAATAAAAAACTGCTACCCCTGCTCGGAACCTGCAGCAGAGTCACAGCGACAGCTGTAATAGCAGCCTTTCAAAGCCTCTTTTTCAATGCTCTTTGGGTAACTGCGGCAACCACATTTGCAGAGTACCCACTACGCAATAAATCATAATTTTTGCGTATTAGGTAAGCATTCACTACGCCATCCTTCTACATTCTTCAGAGAAGCGTGCTACCCCCTACACACGTGCAAGAAATTTCATTGCAATTTTCTGATGCTGTGGCTGACGACGATGAAGAATTATGCCTGTAGCTTTCGTAATGAGTTGAAGCATTTGATGACCAACTCGTGACCCACTTCGTATTGTGTGACGCCTGGTTGTTACTTGGTTGTTCTAAAACGAATGCTGTAGACAGCGTTTTTAGTAGCAGGCCTGTCTTTGTGAAGGCACCCTTGAGAACTGCAAGTCTGCTCGTTGAAACACAGCTCCAGCAAAAACACGCCTTTTTTCAAAGCTGTTTTCCGATCTTCAAGCATGCATATTCTCCCGAATATTTGCTGTATAAGTGAACATGCTAAAACGCAGTTTTCTTTTTTCTGTTGTCTACACCCTTAGGACACACTGGGATAATTGTTATTAATACTACGTCATCAACTCCAACACACCTGTGAAAAAATAAAGTTGATGCTACACATCAATTTCTCCAAGGCCACCAGTGGTTCTTATTTCATATAACTTATCGTCTCTTTTTTTAACAAGTGGTGGCTTCTGGATATCACACATATCGGTGCAATTTAATTCTCCCATGTTGACCTTTCTCGTCACCTTCAATTCGTCATTCTCAATGCAAATAGCATACGCTTTCAAGGGAGATAAGCGTCAAAAACAAAGACTCGAACAGAATATCAATGAGCTCTGTGCGTCTTCGTGCTCATTTTGCAGCGCTAGTTCTCGCAGAAAACTGCAAATGGAGGTTTGTGAGTGGTCTCCACAATAGAATCAGTACGAAGACCCATTCAATGGTGACATCCGTGATCAATATGACCCATTGGGAAGGATTCTGTCTTGCCCTTAATAATCGACACCGCATTTAGTGTCCTTGAATAACAGTTAGAGACAAGAAGAAACCCAGCGAAATGTGCGGCAGACGGTACTCGCAGCGAGGTACATGAACTGACTTCAAATCGGGGTGTGCCTTATGATACGTTAGCTGCATAATGAAAGAACAGACAGTTTTTTAATCGCAGTTTTTTCGCCAGCTATACCCACTCTTTTTCGTCATACTACTAAGCAATCTTTTTCTGAAAATATATTGCTGGTTTCATGAAAGGCCTGCATTCCTCTGGAAGGAAAGTTAGGAAAAAAATAATATCCTGTCTACTTACAGAGAAATGCGATGTCGGTCGATTGCCGCCTATGAAATCACCACCATTAAAGCAAGCCGATATCCTTGAGCGACTGCACGCAGCCAAGAAAGTACTTGCGACATGTGGGACGGCGTCTCTGTTTGCAAAGTGGATCGCAATGAGTCATATACATCGGGCGGATACGTTCAGCTCAGGAAAAGAAATTTCGAATAGTTTGCGACAAAAAAAAAATCGAAACGCACAGCGAGACTGCCAAGCCATTTGATTTGTCCTGGTCAAACTGGTCGTTGTAGAAAGCTGTCCTTTGAGAAACATGCTTCAATAAAACTGAGACGTATGGCGCTTAACTATTGTTAAGAGTGTTATTTCGGGGTCTCGGGGCCCTGGGCTGATTCGTAATTGCTAACGGTATTAACCTGCGTGCTAAGACTGCGTTGGCAATTATTACTAACTATAGAAAAAAATTTATTACAAAGTGGGGATATCATCGAGTGTGTGGAGTCAGACATCGTTATTTTCAAATATGCGCAGAGCTGCTATAAAAAAAACGTAATGATATCCTGATGTCGCATGCATGGTTTTTGAACATTTCATGTGATTTCGTATGTTATAATTATGTTGTTAGCCACATACACGCCTTCATTTCATTAACCCTTCTCACTTTCTTCCTTTCAGTAAGTCGGCTGGCATTGTTGGTTACTATCTAGTTCCCTGAATTTTATTTCTGGTTTGAAGAAAAAAAAATCGTTGCCTGTACGTTAAGATTTCATCTAGCGTGCATATTGCCCCAACAGCAAATTCCACTGGTAGATACGGGGTGGCCGCCGAAATTCTAGAAGCGAGCCCTCAGATGTCGCCAAGCCAGTCTGCGAGTGGAACACGTGAATGACCTGCGTGAAGTCACTCTGTAAGTTCCTTACGCATACGTCACTAAACCGGTACCCGAAACTTCCTCGGCGTAGCCTATTATATTCGGCCGTGCAAATGGTGGGACATAAAACATGTCCTTATAATCATTCCGTATAGCACATATGGCTCGTCGTCCTTACTGCTGCTACGGCCAGCAGGACTAGTTCTCTCGCTGTCGCTGATAGCGAGTGGGTTGCACCAAAACTGCCAGTGTAAAACGCGAACTTGTTCCAAATCTACCAGCGGAATGCAGATTCTCGGCCGTGGAGCAATAAGAAACTTGCTCCCGCTCGACGGGTGGAATTCGCCATAAGGAGACGAAGAATTGTGGATGCCACATACGGCTCCACCGGGAAGTGCGAAAGTGCTCAAGAGCCCGCACTTCTAACATTTCAAAGATGAATCTGCCAAATGTTCGATTATCATTTGCAGCTTCAACACTTCTCATAAAATTATAGTGAACGTGTACTTCATGACGGGGAAAATTTAGAGCGTCTGCTCACATCATTTACTCGTCCCCATGCCTGCTCAGTGAAATATATTAAGTTTGCCTTATTCTTCTCGCACCAGAAAAACCACACAATCAGCAGCTTCTTAGGGTTTCAATCTTCAACAGTCTACAATACATCTACTTAGAATAAAAAAAAAAACAAGCTGGCTTTCGCCTTGTATATAGTCGAGTGGGGCGGATGCATAATGGAACCTTCCGTGTTTTGTCTCCAAGTAATCTATGCAGCATGACATTATCCATTCCCAGTCCTTGCAAATAGTAAGGCTATCGTACTTAAAAAGAAACGCAATGTAATGAAGTGGGTACGACACTGCTATCTGTCAAAAACTTCCACTTGGTTTGCGAGCTCACACGTGTTTTACATATCGTTCACTGCGAGCCACGTAACGGCAGCTACCAGTAAGCCTAAACGACGGACAGGCAGCGGAATCAGCACAACGTCAACAGTGTCGTAGATGTAGCAGAACTAAGCGTAAAGTTCGTATTCCTCACGTGAACTGAATTGATCGTCGTCCGTTTTTAGCAAGCGTGGCCGCCATTTCGCTTACGCAACAACGGCGATTTTCCATTCAGCCTGGCCATACGGCAGCAGGGTGCGCGCCTTCATCACGCTACTTTCCGATCACTTTCTTCACGTGGCCCGAGTGACCGAAACGTGCTGTATAAAACAGGTTGTCAGATGAACTGGAAGTAATTTGCATAATTACAACGTATTCAAGTTCTCTTCTTGTTATCTTGAACACCTCTGCGCGCAGCTTCTAAACACACATTCTCTAAAACCTTGTAGGAAGCCGTCTACCAAACCCGAGACAGCTCTGAGTCAGTGTTCATGTTCCTATTCCTACATTCGCCTCTCGCTGGACAACGAGTCATTTCTATGGACATGAGAACGTGATAAGGTACAGAGTTGAATGCGCCTTTGTCACTGCATCTCTTTGACTTGAGCCTCTAAACAAAGCCTTCACGCTCACTTTCCCTGACACATGACCCAGGAAGTTTCGGCTACATGGGTATAATATTTAGCACATGATGCCTTGAAGGTACTCTCACGAAATCCCTCCAACACACCCACTAAAGTACTGACGTGAGATTGAAAGATCAAAAATAGTTTTATGACAGCGCATTTCCTTTCTTCGAGCGACTTTTTTTTTTGCCTGTGGTGACGAGCTGTGCTCACAATTCATGATTGAATATACCCGGTAAAAAAATGCTTTTAACGTGTTCCATGTTAATCGCACGTGTTGAAACGCTACCGACCACATCAACGTTACCGAAGTGTTCACAAACTTTACGTACTCCCGGCCACAATCTTGAGTTAGCACCAGCCGAGTGTTCTGCCTTTATCCTGACACCTAACGCTTACGTTATTATATCGCCTCTTCGCGGAAAGCCTTAATAAAAAAAACTTTTACGCACGAAGGCATCTTGCTGAGCACTCACCAAAACGTGGTGTATCCAAAAAGCCGAGCGATGGTGCCGATTTCGAAGAGCTGCCACAACACGACCAGCTGCTGGTTTCTTCGAACACGCGTGGCGCCACGGACAGTATCCGTCGCCTGAGCCGGCCAAGCTACGCCACATCTCGCGTCACTCGCCCAGCCAATCAGGTTCCGATTTGAAGCCGTATTGCAAGCCGATCATGCATAAAAAAGAGAAAGAAGATCGGTTCTTTCCACCATCTTTCTTTCGTCCCTTGTTATTTCTTTTATGTTTCTCTCAATCTGGATAGACTGGGTAAACCTTCACCCACCTAGCGAGATTCTCGCTTACACGTCAGGGGTGCGGCACTGCCGTTGGCGCCTGGGCAATCTCCAGCCGCGATCAGTTTGTGATCCCGTCTTCAAGGCCAAATACGACGGCACGCCTAATGGCGGAGGGTCGTTTAGAGAGTGTTCTTTCTCGCTACTGGCCTTGCCGAACACCCGGCGCCGCTCCCAAAACATCCCTCGATTTCGTTACCACGCGACGAAGTGAACTACCTCGCACTGCGTGGTTTCGCGAAGTAAACAAAAAAATTTGGTAGATACCACGTACAGTGGGAATCGATAATATGCGAAGCACGAATAAGGAAGGTTGATATGTCAATTTAAAATCAGCACAACGTTACTAGGCAGACGTGAATTATGCCGTACATGACTTCCATGCCATTATTGTTATGTTTGCGCCAGGCATTTGTGTTCATCGTCCATTCACGTCACGTAACACCAAATTTGGTATATGTGAAGCTAGCGAAACGGTCGTGAGCACGCTATTAGCGTAGCATGTAGTCATGTTTACATTGCACGCATGTCATGATTATAATATTTGGATGTGTCATTTACCATCGTCGTCTAGCCGTGTCACGTGATAGCAAATCTGGTATACGTAGAGTTAGCGAAAAGGCCGCGAGCGCATCATAAGCGTGGCATGTAGTCATGTTCTTACATGAAACGCATGTCATGATTTATCCTGTTTGCACCAAATTATATCAGTTTGCGCCGGCGTCATTCATTCACGTCCCGCAATACGAAATTTGGTATATGTGACTGGCGAAGCGAGCACGAGCGCACCATGAGCGTGGCGTGTAGTCATAACTTACACGACATGCATGTCATGATATCCACATTAGGGTTTGTCATCTATGTTCTCCATGCAGTCATGTCATACCATACCAGTTTTGCAGTGTGTCATGTGAACGAAACTACCGCAAAAGCAGAGAGACAATGAAATGTAAATCATGACATTCATGACATACATGCCCCGATTTTCATGTAACGACTAGTTATTTATGCTTGTCATACAGTCATGGTATATCCTAATAATATTGGTATAGATACCCTTATCGAAACGGCCAGGAGAGCTAGAAGTCGTAGGCGACTAGATAGATAGACAGATAGATAGATAGATAGATAGATAGATAGATAGATAGATAGATAGATAGATAGATAGATAGATAGATAGATAGATAGATAGATAGATAGATAGATAGATAGATAGATAGATAGATAGATAGATAGATAGATAGATAGATAGATAGATAGATAGATAGATAGATAGATAGATAGATAGATAGATAGATAGATAGATAGATAGATAGATAGATAGATAGATAGATAGATAGATAGATACATAGATAGATAGATAGATAGATAGATAGATAGATAGATAGATAGATAGATAGATAGATAGATAGATAGATAGATAGATAGATAGATTCAAAGTTGCCAAAGTTCGCTAAAAAATGATTCGCATTTAAAGACCGCGAATGAACGTATTCCATCTGTCGCACCCCCCCGCGCTAGCGCAATAGCGAACAGTCTTGTCGATTTAAGTCGCTGTCGAGAAAACCGCAATAGAGCACCGTGAAGCGAAGGAAAACGGTCGAGATCGTATAGTGAATAAATTGGGCACCACCCACAGGGAGCTGTTACACGAAGATGACTTCGTAAGAAGTTCGAGAAGTCTGTAAATTATACCAGGAGAGCATTCGCCATCAAGATGCATTTAGAAACTGACTCGCCTTTTTTTCATTACGAAATAACACGTTTCTTTGGTTGAGTAAGGAAATGACTGTCAGTTGTTTAATTCGTGGGAAATTAATCTGTACGTATTGAGGTGGTTGCCACGCACCATTCACTTCTTTTGAAATTATGATCACTCGCAATTGTGCTACTTTAGTTACCCCTGTGCCCCACGTCCCCTTTAGCGCTGAAAGCTATCCGCTATAGACGTGGTGCGCATACACTCCAAGACCAATTTCTTCGGGCAACTGATCCAGAAACTCCGTACCTCAAATAAAAAATTACCTTGGAACATTTCCCTCTCCATTTATGTTAGTTTGGTTTGAGCCCGTTATACCTCCTGGTGGTGCGGGCCACCCCCATTTTCTTTCTAGTTATTTTCATATGTAGGAGATAATTCTGGAGGAATTCGAAGGCTTGCATGTTACTCCCTATATATGAAAATAACTAGAAAGATGCTACTATGCTGTGCAGATTATGGTTAAGCGTCGCATTTACCAATGCGTACGCGTTCCGCATAGGAATGGCTGACACTGCTGCATGCGACCATTGCGGCAGTGACGAAACAACTTGGCACATTTTGTGTGAATGCCCACAATACTACTCGCAGAGACAGTCACTCTGCAGTGCACTAGATGAACTGGACAACCAGACTCGTTCGGAAGAAAGAATCCTGCGCTACTGACAGGACTTCATGTCACAGAAGAAGGCTGTGAAGGCGCTCTTGCGCTTCTTGCGTTCAACCGGCCTGTTCAAACGACTGTGATCGGAACTCCCTGAATCTGTGCGCATGTGATTGTTTTTCTAATTTATTTTATATATCTATATCTATATCCTCTTTCCGACCCCTTTCCCCAACCCTGTGCAGGGTAGCAAACCAATTCTAGGTTAACCTCCCTGTCTCTTCCTTTTACTTATTTCTCTCTCTCTCTTTATATATAGGGGGACAAAAAGCACACTGCCGTACACAAAATTGCCTTCGCGGTGTCTTGACTTCTCTCGTGTCCGTGTGTGCCCGTCCTGCTTATTCCACATGAATTCCTACGAGCTAGCTTAGCTCCTTGTAACTCTACACCAAGTGTCATCACAGCGGATGCTTCTCTTTCTAGGAGCAATGGTGTGGACATAAAACCAACGTACTTCGGCGTGTTTCGCTAGATCTGCATCAGTGGTGTAATTCCGTAAGTCCGGTGTTTGGTGTTCATGCGTGTGTGCGTGCTCGTGCGTGTGTTTCTGTATGTGTCTGTGTTTATTTAGAATGCGTTGCAGTCTAATGCGGGCAAGGCAAGTCTAAACAAGACGGTGAGGCATGATGTGAGCCAGTGGCCTGGAGGAGGAGGTAAGCGTTGATGAGGATGGTTACAGTAGTCTCTCAGAGGACAAAGTCAATTTGTTTACCAAGAGCATGGCGGACCCTGGTTGGAAAACCAGAATGCAACAGGAAACATCCAGCAGTCTATTTGCCACTGCGAACTTGAACAAGGCACCAGTTAAATTAGTGGCTTGCTTTTCAAAAAGAAAATGAACAAGGCGTAATTACTCGCGCAAGTGTTGCGGATGTCGTGGTTCATGTATTAAGTAAAGACGGAGCAGTGATGCTATCATTTTCAGTCGCAGGGGTTTTTCTCACCTTTTTGGTGTAACTGCGATTGTAATCGAGAGCAACCACGAAAAATTCATTATGATTGGCTACGATAGCAAAAGAGGGGAATCAGAGTATGAAGCTATGTCGTGGTAAAGCGTTAGTATCTAATGTATGTCTCGTGGATGAGATGGCGTTGGGTATTAAATACGCCAACTTAAGTGAACATACACTAGATTTTTCATATGCCGATAGCTCCTAATAAAGTGTGGTAGTGTTTTGCCACTGTTAAGCACACGTATAAATGGATCAAGTGCACCACACATACACCTCTCCGATGTAGTTATATTAAATCGATGAAGAACATACTGAAAGTGTCCATGACCAGACAACAAATGTGGAACCACTGAGGAATTTCGTACGGATGCAAGATCCAATGAAGTAATGTCGCCTCAGATTTCTAGCCTGCCAATGGGTGCGGTTCGCCCATACGAATTCGAGAGTTTATGAAACCGAGTCCGTACAGCATGGATTGAAATTTTGGCGTAACGCAAGAAGCCCGATCTCCCTCCTGATGCATCTGATGCACCAGCTAGTTCGTTTTCTAAAATTTCTATAATACCGGGTACATGTTACAGTATTACAATTATGCCTGACAATGGACTATGACTGAGTGTGCGCGCGTGCACTGCCGAATGTGCTGTTTCTCTCTTCCCTCTCTGCTCTCTCTCATCTCCCCCATCCCTCTCCCATTCGCAGGGTAGCAAACCGGCTGCCTATAGGCTGGTTAACCTCCCTGCCTTTCTTTTCCCTCTATTTTCCTTCCTTCCTTGTCTGACAAAATATTGCGGTTAAGACGCATCTTCATGTTCCAAATTTTTTCGCCGTTATCGATGAGACTTGATAGTTTCATTACGAAAGATACACAATCTCTGTAAATATGAGCTGGAAAGTTAAAGCTAATTGTAAAGACGAAATGAAGTTCTTGTAGAAGTGCTAGAAATTCGGTGGCGTATGCGCTGTGAAGCGTGGCATATCTAAACGATCTTGACAGTTATGATTTTTTTATGATTGGTCAAAGCAATGTATGCCGCTGCCGCCACGTATGACGTGTACGAGCCATCTGTGTATACATGAACGGCTTCTAGTTTGGAAATAACGGCTTCTCGAGACGATGCAAATTTAGTGAAACTAAATCTATATTTTTACTAGGATAATGAGCCCACGGATTGCATGGATATAGTATGTCAGCCGATTTGAATGTTTTTACACCATAGTGTGTTATGTTACGGTGTATGAATAGAGAAAATTCTGCAGGTAGTCTGTACAACTGTTGTTGTAACAGAGGTGCGTTAGCGAGAATTCGTAGGGACAACTTGTGTGTGGTGTAAAATGCACCTATTAAAAAATTAATACGGTCCACTGAACTAATAAAACTCACGCCCTAATCAATTTCAATGAAAACATGGGCAACCATACTAAAGATGCATATGTGAGAGACGGCAGGATGACTTGGTGGTAGGGTCGTCGAAGGAGTGTACTGTTTAGCGAATGGTGCCTTTAACAAATGTAAGAAAGCGAGATGTGTACGCTTCAGCTTTTTCTTTTATGTAATCAATATGGGCAT